TTCCGTCGATTCTCCGTGAAAACGAGTACCTAAAAGAGCGGTTTGACGTCATTCGAGTTTTCCAGGAAAAAGCGTTCTTAACACTCTCGTCCCATCGACGAGACCAGAGTTCATCGTCGAGTGCAAACACGCGAGCCTATCCGCTACAAACATTTGCGCTCGCAATTAGCGCGTCCACGTCAATGCTAAAAATCCTCGAAGCCTCGCACGCGAAAACAATCGGCCATCGCTGATCGAATCGAATCGGCTAGGCGAAAATATCTCGGCCGTTGTCCCATTGAAAGCAATTACCCTGTCAGGGTATACAGAGCCCGAGTGACCGAGAGGGGAGCGGGTTCGCGTCCCTATCTCGGCCCGCCTTTCTCGCCACGAAACTGGAATATACGTATATACGCAATATACCGGTACATATCCGTGAACAAACAGAGAACACATTCCCGCCTCTCTGTCTCCCTTCATCCCTTCGTCCCGCGGCGGCAGGGTGGAGCGAGAGGCCGGCAGAGATTGCAAGTAGCGGTGGTCGCGGGATACATCATTCATACATAGCCAAATCTCATATCGGTTTCTGATCCTCCGGCTATGACGGCCTTTGTAGCCCTCTCTCCTTGCCGCTGGCATCGTTGCCCGCTCACTCCCACGCTTTGCTCGCCTATCGTTCTCGCCCCCTTGGCATCTCTCTCTCTCTCTCTCTCTCTCTCTGTTTATTGTTACGTCGCATTTATGTATGAAGCAGCGTGAGATGCCATTGTCACGGACACATGACGAGCTGGACGAGAGGGACAGAGGGAACAACCGAGGGATCGAGATCTCTGTCCTTTCCCAACGGAACTTGGTAACGGAGGAAAATGGAAGCGGAGTTATTGGGCCAAAACGGAAATCGATGCCTCCCCCCCCCAATGGTTCACCCTTCCGTTTGCTTGAATTCTCGCGTACCTTGTGCTCCTTCTCCCTTGCACGCTATCTTTTACCTGCCTTTTACCTTCTATCTTTAATTGGTTCGGTCTTTAATGCCCGACGGTCGCGTTCCGCGCTAAAGATTTTTCTGGATTGCACAACGTTGCGTGAGATTGCAACTTTGTGCCGTTGCTGCGCGCGCGTTTAACGATTCGGGGTAAAGTGGTTCTTTATCGCAGCCGGGCTGTGCAGTCGTCCGCTATTGCGGAGGATTGTTTCAGGCAGCAAGGAAGCTAAATACGAACGCCTTTGTAGAAAGAATACCGACGAAACTCGAAACTATTCAACTCTGCTGGCTGTTTCCTCATCTCTTTCCTGTCTCTCCTGAAAGATTCTCCGGTCGAATTGAATTCTCGCAAAGACGCAAATTCCGCAGAACGAAGCGGGACGAAGGAGATAAAAAGGTGGCTGCCGAGCGAAGCCTTCTCGAAGAAAAGCCAAAGATTCGATGTCTGAATTAAAACTGTAAGACACAGTGTCTTCGCGACAGGCCGAAGCACGGAGTTTTTCGGTCGTTCTTAACCGTGGAACCGTCGCTTCGGTAGGAAAGTTTGGCAGTAGCGCTGAGAGAAGGCTAAATGGGCAGGAAGCTGTTGGACGAGGTCGTTTCCGGTTGAGTCTGATGCGCCTTCACTCGGATCCCGACGTTATCGCGACAATTGAATGGCTCAAGTCCTCCTTGCTTTCCCGCTCTTGCTGCGCAACCACGATAAGCCTCAGAAACAGCCCCTAACGGTTTCCCTCGCGATTGCTGGTACCTGTACCTCCTCTCGACCCGTTTCACTCTTACCCCCTACCCCCGTTTCCCTCGATTGAGCTAGTCGTTCGTGGGAAAGAAACGTTTGCTTTTAATTGTTCTATTCCGAGCGCGCGCAACTACCGGAATAAGCACCGAGACGTGAATAATTTTATATTCCTCGAGCGTGGAAATTCGTGGCACGAGCCACGAATTATTATTTTAATTTCCTCCTCGTTCCATCGTCCATCTATCGAATTTTTATTCGACCACATTCATTCGGCTACAAAGAGTTATTTGCACCGGGCGCCATTTTCCAATGAGAAGTGGTTTCCATCGTTTTGCAATTGCTTTGCACAGCGAAAAATTTTCATAGCAGCATGAGAGTAGATAGTACTGCTACTACAGTCAGATTCGGTGAGTTAATGCGCAATTAACTTTCAACAAAGAGCTTTAAAAAAGAGAGAGAAACGAAGCGAATAGTTCGTCGAATTAGAACAATACTACTCAAGCAAGATCTTGCATTTCATCTCGAACTATTTCGCTATAAAAATTCTTATCAACGCGGTGAGACGAAGGGAAACGGGCGGCAGAGGTGGCAAAGTTGGGCAATTGAATCGGTAAATCGCGCCCTTGGCGATACAGTTGTTGCGGTAACGGCGGAGATAAGTGCGCGATCTTGCATCGTAGGAAAGGATAACGTGCGCTGGTTTATCCTAGAAATGTAAAGTTCCGTCGTTTCGATCTTAATCAGTTATTTCGAAGGGTTTGTCCCCGCAATCGCAGTCCCCCGGCACCGCTGGCTTCACTCCTTCGGCATTGTTCCTTTAATGCAATCCGAGCCGCGCCGACTCGGACTTCTCGCAAACTTTCTTCCACGCCCACCCC